TGAATCAGGATATCTTATTTTTGTGCATGTCTCATTCTCATATGTGAAGTTAGAAATATGAAGTGTGAATCTGGTTTTAATTCTAAATGGGCTAATGAGGGCCATGAGGGATACTTTAGGATCTTATTGGCTCAGTACTCAAATCAAGGTCTCATGAATGATTTTATTCTTCCTGAAAGGCCAGACTGTGGTTGGTCCCAGAAAGGCAGGGGCCATAGTCACATGCTACTGGAATCCATCTTACATATGGTATTTTTCCATGGGAATGGGGAGTGCTAAACAAAGGGTCTCTCTCTTATGGGGAAGTCTGCTTAAGGAATGGAAAGCAACTGGTCTCTCTTCAGCTGGCCTTGCCCCCTGAAGAGGATACACATGAAGAAACCTGGCAACAATGAACTTTGAAAACAGCTTAGACCCTAGTCAGAGTAAAGATCAACTCTGACTTGAAGCATATTACCCAAGATAAGATTCACAGTTTAGAGGGGGAAATTGCATGTAACAAGTTCCTTAGTATATTAGAATTAGCTGGGGTTTTTTGTTTGTTTTAACTTAACTTACTTTGATCTGACTATTTCCACTTGCAGCCACTTAAATCCTACTTTTTTATACTTGATAAAAACACTTTTATTATTAAGCCTTGTGTCAATAATTATTATCTGTGGGAAAGGAACCACTGTGCATGCCTCTTTCATTGATAAAGGGGGCTAACCAGATGAGCTTTTTCTGTGTAAAAGTATTACATAGAGAGAGATGGATTTGTTTGGGGTTTTGATCCTGTTTGGGGTCTGTGTTCCTAGGAGCTGAGCCCTCATCATATCTGCATTGCTCTGCAGAGGGTGATAACCCCACCTCTGTATCTTGACTGGGGGAGACCAGAGCTTCTGATCCAACAGGACAGGGTGGTAGGAAGCCCCAGAAGTCAGGAAGGCTGGGATCAGTAGCTTGATCAGCACACTGGGGGGCAACCTCAAGGGGATTCCTGTAATCCAACCCGTCACACTAATTATTTTCTGTGTTCAGAAATTACATGTGGTAGGTCAGTATAATTTTTTTCCCTACTCCATTTTGCCTGGCAATTAGAAAGGAGTATAACTGTAGCTTGGGCTAGGATCAGCATGTGCATAGACAGGAAGACAGGGTGATTATATCATACTTACCAGATGCTGAGTATTTTAATTTGTGTTACTCCACAAGGATTTAATTAATGTGGATAAGCAGGGGGCCTACTGAGTGTAACGAGTCTGCTCCAGATTTTGGTAATGACAGCCACATAAAACTGACTTCTGTGGAGTTACTCTGTATTTATAGGCTGTGTCTAGACTGGCAAGTTTTTCCACAAAAGCAGCTGCTTTTGCAGAAAAACTTGCCAGCTGTCTACACTGGCCGCTTTAATTTCCGCAAGAACACTGACGATCTCATGTAAGAAATCAGTGCTTCTTGCGGAAATACTATGCTACTCCCTTTCGGGCAAAAGTCCTTTTGTGCAAAAGCTTTTCCACAAAAAGTGCTTTTGCGGAAAAGCGTCCGTGCCAATCTAGACGCTCTTTTCTGCAAATGCTTTTAATGGAAAACTTTTCCGTTAAAAGCATTTGCGGAAAATCATGCCAGTCTAGACATAGCCATACAGTATAAGTAAGATCAGAATCGAAGAGATGGCACCTGATCTGTATAGCAGACATTCAAATATAAATAGGGTTCAAGTTGATTGGTCTTTAACAGTTTTCCCTGGGGTAAATGTCCCTTTCACTTAGACATGTACTCCCACCCAGCCCGAAATTAATCATATTACATGGATGTAGCTGAAAACAAGGTTCCCACTGAAATTAGTGGTGTTATTTAGTGATTGGTGTATAATGAAACAAATGCATGGAGAAATAATAAGGGCATCTTGTCAGTTAGTTTACATCTCAATTTCAAGGTGTCATCAACATTTAAAAAGCCACTGCTGGTTAGAAAGGTTTTTGTTTTTCAAAGATGCTTGAGTTTGGATAAATGTTCCCTACTTGTGTTTTCACACCAAACATGCAGGCTACGTCTACATTGGCCCCTTTTCCGGAAGGGGCATGGTAATTTTTGAAATCGCAATAGGGAAATGCGCGGGGGATTTAAATATCCCCCGCGGCATTTAAATAAAAATGTCTGCCGCTTTTTTCCGGCTTTTAGAAAAGCCGGAAAAGAGCGTCTACACTTGCCCCGATCCTCCGGAAAAAAAGCCCTTTTCCGGAGGATCTTATTCCTACTTCAAAGTACTTCAAAGTAGGAATAAGATCCTCCGGAAAAGGGCTTTTTTTCCGGAGGATCGGGGCAAGTGTAGACGCTCTTTTCCGGCTTTTTTAAAAGCCGGAAAAAAGCGGCGGACATTTTTATTTAAATGCCGCGGGGGATATTTAAATCCCCCGCGCATTTCCCTATTGCGATTTCAAAAATTACCATGCCCCTTCCGGAAAAGGGGCCAATGTAGACGAGCCCCCAGTGTCTGTGCTGACAGCAGATGAGGATCTAACCATCTTGAAATGAAATTGCCCAAGTCTCAAAATGAAACTGATCGGCCTGTTTTATTTAGTTATGAAAGGCACATAGTGAGCATGTCATAGGAAGGGGTGGGTGAGATTCTGTGGCCTGCATTGTGCAGGGGGTCAGACTAGATGATCATAATGGTCCCTTCTGACCTTAAAGTCTATGAGTCTATGTACAGTAAGTAATTTGACCAGGGAAAATTCAGTTATTAGTAACAGAGGTAAGGAAATGTTTTAAAAATGAGTGGCCTGATTCTCACAATTGCTGTGGAGCCCTCCTGCTTTCAGTTCCAGGGAGTGAGAGCGGTAGGAGCTAAGCACTTGAGGCTTCATAAAGATTTATGACTTTTAACCTGAGGGGTGAAATCTTGACAGTAATAAAGTCGATCACAAACTGTTATTGCATCCAAGAGAGAGAGAGGATTTTGCTTGATGTCCTGGTACCTGTATCTCCATCAGGCAAGGAGCAGACCGGTGGCACCGTAGACACTAAGATATGTATTAGGTCATAAGATTTCATGGGTAAAACTCACTTCATTCTTGCTTACAGACAACCCCCCTAACCTGAAACAAATTCTTTTCGGTAACCACTCAGCACAGCTACATCATAAGCATCCAGGAGCCTACCTCTGCAATCAGCCCTGGTGCCAACTCTGCCCACACATCTACACAAGTGTTTTCATCACTGGACCCAACCACATCAGCCACTAAATCAGAGGCTATTTAACTGCACGTCCATCAATGTGATCTATGCTATCAAATTCCAGCAATGCCCCACTGCAATATATATTGGCCAACCTGGACAGTCTCTACAGGAAAGAATTAAAAGACACAAGTCAGATATTTGAAAAGGCAACACACAAAAACTTTTGGAGAACACTTTAATCTTCCTGGACACTCATTAATGGATCTCCATGTTGCTGTTGTGTTTCAGACCAATTCCACAAGCCAAATACACAGAGAAGGATTGTAGCTTAACTTCAGTCACAAGTTTGTTATGCTAATGGTTTGAATCGGGATATTGGATGGCTCGCACATTATCAACCAACCAATGAAGGTGCTAATAGTTCTTGATGTCTGAGTAGAATCTGATGTTGGTCATCTTCCTTTCCAAGTGCAAACTAATGGTTCTTATCAGCCTTTTGTAACTATTTAGTCTTTAAGACTAATTGTTGTTTTTTAAGTTTTTCCTGTTACAGACTCACTTGTCTATCCCTCTGAAGTTTATATACTCACTGGTTTTTTTTCTTCCACCCATTCCATTTTTTCCGCCTCCCTCCCCATTTATTCTTGGATCTGGACTGCTAACACTCCTGTTATCTGAAGAAGTGGGTTGTGCCCACAAAAGCTCACGATACCATGAGTCTTTAAAGTGCTACTAGAGTCTTCGTTGTTCTTTTAAGTTTTTCATCAGCTGAGTTGGACTAGAAATGATAGAATCCAAGGTCTATTAGACAGTAACTACCATGAGCCACTGGGTGGCGCCCCTGCACAAGGCTGAGCCCTCCAGTGGGGCTGTGGCTGATAACTCCACGGAGTTAAAGCAGCTGCGGCTGGTAAAGTAGCGTTATAAATCACTAGTGAGAACAGAGACGTGCATGAAGCGCCTGCACCCCCCCCCCAACCCGTACCCCTTTGAACCGTGTTTCTCGTGGGACCTTAACCTCTCAAGAAGTGAGCCCTACAGGAAACCGAACTCGATTTACACAGGAAGGAGCTGAGTGCCTCGTTTATACAATTGCACTAGGGTCTCTGGAAACAATCGTGAACTGTGTTGCGCACAAAGCACCCACGCCCGCAGCAAGCCACAAAGCAAACCCGTTCGAAGGCTAAGGCAGGACTGCCGGGCTGTGACAACACTACGCAGGCGTCGATCGCAAAGTCACAACTTCGTGCAAGCCCACCTAGCATACAAGGGTTTTGTGCACGACGCGTGGAGGAGGGCTCCAGTGGTTTCAAAGTACTGCGATAATTGCACTGAACGTGGGTGATTAAAGTCCCCAATTAATCTTGAGTCTCCACCGCTTTCATCTGTCAGTCGTTCATTCTCTTCCCATCCCTCCCTTCCCCCCCATCAAAAAAGCAATGAGCAACAACTAGTGTCCTGTTCCGGAGAACTCTGCAACTCGTGGCACGGGATTAAACATGGCTTGAGCTGCTGGCTGCTCGCAAACTGTGCCGATGACCTGCTGCATGTGTGAACTCCCCACATCTTAGCTGTAATGTGTCATAGCCCCTATACGGCCCTGGCAACTCCCCCTCCTTTGAGCTTCCATAATGGAGGTCTCCTTGGCCAGGGGCAAGCCAAAACCCAGAGCAGGCGTTCAGCCTACAAATCCCAGCATCCCCGGCCCCGTAACGCTGAGGAATGAACCAGCTGTGGAGGACGGCGCTTGCGCAGAGTTGCGGAACCAGCTTCATAGTACCACACCCCCGGGGAGGGAGGGAGACAGCAGCATCTGAAACATTAAACCATCAGAGAGAGCGAGCCGGGGCGGGGGGAGGAGGAGAATGGAGTAGCGGAGCAATACAGAGGGGGAGAAAATATTAGCGAGGGGAGAGCGAGCAGTGACTTTCTCAAAGAGGAAACTGCAGGAGGGGGCAATAAGGAGGAATAATGCTCTAGAGGAAGGAGGCTGATTTATCGCACAGAGAATCAGCAGCACCTATAGAAACTGACATCCTGCTGCAGTGCCGCTACCTTCGCTGACTGATACTGTCAATGGAGCTGGAAAATATTGTGGCCAACACTGTCTTGCTGAAAGCCAGGGAAGGTAAGAGAAAGAGCCAGCAAGAGCGATGGAGCATCCCTGTCGCATTTACTCCCCTGGTAGGCAATGCATAGCCGGAGGAAGGGGGAGATGCATCCTGTGGATTTTTAGACCCAGTGCGGATCTTGAGCGCTGCCGAGGGTTGCATGTGGCTGAACCTGCGTTCGAAACGCTTGCTTTAAACAAAAGAATGTTTATCTCCAGCGGCAAGGAGGTTTTGTGGGAGGATATTTTTGAGATGGCTGAGATTATAATGGTAAAATATTCACCGCGTTTCCCTCCCCCTTCTCTTACATCTGATCCCGCAGATTGTGCTGTTTCAGAGTCTATTGTTAAAGGTCAGCTGCAGATGCATTCATTCAAAAGGGTTAGCAAATCAGCAAATAGACTTTTATTCTGTATGGTGCGACTGGCAGAGTACAGTCATTGCCTTATTCGGCATTATCAGGTGAGATAATGGTGCTCGTAGCTGTCCATTTTTAAGAATGTTTTTATCCTAATCCAGTTTCAGAAGGAACTTCGAGTTGAATGCAAATGGAGCGAGGTGACACGGAATTAGCTTGTGGAGTGCATCTGAAAAGGAACCTCAATCTGCAAAATAATGCACGGTTTCGGAGGGGGTTTGTGTGTAAAGAGCCGGAGTGGCTGTTTTCTTTGCTTGCTGAGTTACCAACAGAGCATTGCACGAAACTGCTATTAAACGTTCTGTTCTGAAAGACAGATCGCGTTAGATTTGTCAGAGGTGGCGGCTGCTTGAAAGGAGGGGGCGAAAGAGATGCTAACAGAAAGTCATCCCTAAGCATTACTGGTGCATATCCTTTCCAAAATGCATTATATACATGAAAAATATCCGGGCACACTACAGGGTTAGCTGCATTGCCGAAGAGGGCTCTGAAAACCCCCTGCTGTGTACAGCGTATTTTCAGAGAGGGAAGTGGTTTTCTGGTGTGAATGATTGGGTGTCTACAGAGCCTGGGGAAAGGGTACCCGACGCGAGCCGAGGATCTCAGCGGAGCAGATCCTCAACCTGCCTAGCAGGGTTTCATATTTTCATTCACTACGTTGAATGAATGAAGGACCCCTTGCCAACAATAAGAACTCGCATTGTCTTCGTTCTCTTGCACATCTTTCAGCCCCGTGTTTGCATAGCACGCCCGGATCACAGCTGGGCTCTCCTTAGATAATGCAGCAAGGGATCCTTTAGCTCTTGAACGCATGGGAATTAAATCGCTCCTTGGAAGGTTCCATTCGCAAGAAAAACGATCCTTCAAATTGTCTGGTCCCTGGCCCCCTTTCCTTTCCTTAGGTGGAGGTGGAAGTTTCCATCCACAATAGATGCCTTCATTGTTTGTGTGGTGTCCCTCTCCGGTAATAAGACATTGTGATTTGATCCTTTGCATTGGAAAACATCACTTTTATGGGTCTTCCAGTGTTTTAATGTAGGGCTGGCTTCCTTCCCCTGTCTAATCCTGATGGCATTCGAGTTCTTCTGTGTGGCAAGGACAGTGTGAACACCTGTGTGCCAGACATTGTATGCCACTGATGGCTAAGAGCTAAAGGGGAGGGGGAAGGGGGGACAATCTTTAGAACATCTGTGCGGAGCCACCTAGTGGTTGAAAATTATTATACATTACATGGCTGGGGGGAAACACAACAATCAACATTATTACTTTTGAGATCACAACATACCTCTGGGCAGCAGGTCATTCTGAATGCCACTGCTCTAGAGGGACAGCAAGGTAATTCCTCTTGGTGTGACTGTATCAAATTATGGCAAATATACTGCACAGTCTTTAGTGCAGAGCTAGTTCTGACATGGGATTTTATCTTCTTCTGAGAGTAAATTTGCGAAGCTTTAGATTATTACAAACTCATTCTCAGTGGTATGGAAGTAGTAGTGATTAACCTTTATTTATTGGGCTCAGCAAATTAGATTTTTCTGGGAAAGGATTTCTGAGATTATCGTATATAATATTTATTTGTTTATACTGTTAGTATTACACCAGCATCCAGCCATAGTGTGGAAAGAGGTCTCCGTGACAAACAGCTCAGGAATGAAAGCTTATGCTTATTTCCTTCTCATTATATCCAATGTGTTCTAAAACTTTGGTACGTAAATCAGGAAGCAATTTTACCTTGGGGATTTCCCCCTCCACAGAAAACATTTCAACTGAGTTTTATTATGTACAGTTATACAACATAGAACATTTATGGAGAATGAGAGGGGGTTTGGTGTGACTTACAAGGAAACAACTCCATGCGAAGGAACTTTTTGTTCTTAAAGGTTAACATTTCTCTGAAACCCTAGGATGGAATTAGTTCATGTCAGAATTGCAACCCTGATTTTTAATTGGTTGAAATAATATGTGGCTCCAATGTTGCTTAATCTTCAATATACTATAATCAGTTATTAGACCAAACTGTTCTAGATGTGATGTAAACATCAGGATTATATGCACATCCCTTTGAAGCAACTGGTATTGGCCACTGCCAAAGATAGGATACTGACTCTGAATTGGACATCAAATACGATCCACTCTAGCAAGACCTCTTTTCTTACAGAAGCACAAATAAATGAATAGTAGTGCACTAAGTGAGATAATTTCAACTCCTACACCCAGCATTATGTGATCGCATGAATGCATGAGATAAAATAGTCAAAATTGCTTAACATATTAATATAACTTATAGGGGTATTTTGAGATTTACCTATGAAGTAAAGCCATGAGATCCTCAAAATAAAAGATGTGCTGTATGTATAGTACATTCAAAGAATACCAGCAAGGGATCAGGCATAATCTTTTCTAATTTCAAACTGGAACATTCTTATTTTGTGCTGGGTTTTTAATCATATGGCCTAGGGTATGTTTACATGGCAAATAAATAAAACTAAAGGCTCCACAGAAGCAAGTCTTGGAGCCTAGGTCAATTGACTCAGACTCAGAGGACTCATGCTACAGTCTAAAAATAGCAGTGTAGATGCTCAGGCTGTAACCTTGTCTCTGAGTCCCATCTCCCCTCACTAGGTTTCAGAGCTCAGCATCTATGCTGCCATTTTTAGACTTGTAGCATGAGCCTGAATTGGTGGATCCAGGCTTTGAGATACACTGCTTGTGGGTTCTTTTTTATTTTTGTAGTACCCTTAGAATATTGGACAATACTGAGGATGACAATTTCAGATTTAAGATCTCTAGTAATACTGGTGCTTTAAAGTATTAATGTCCTTAAGACTCATAGTTATGTGTGAGTTACAGAGATCAGCGCATGGCAAGAATATAAAATATGGCTATTTATTGAATGGTCTCTTGCTATCCTGATTGTCAAAGAAGTTCTAGGAATATTGAAAGAATTTGTATAACAAATCTATTAGCTGGAATTGAAAGCTGAAGATACAGTAAGACTTCTAGGTTTGTAGCCCCCAAATTTACCCATGTCACTTGTTCCATGGCTGCAAAGTTTGTGAAAATCATTGGATGTGATTTTGTTTATTTTTAAAAAACAAATGCTTCATAGCATTAGGGGGTTTTAAAAATAGAAGCTTAATATGCCTGGATGACCCTAGGATGCTGAAAGAAAGAGATATATAACAGATTGTCTTGCGGTTCCTAAGATGATGATGATAAACTGCAACAAGTAAAATATTCCTAAAAATACTCTGTTTCCTGAAGCATTTGTAGATGAATAAGACACCTGCTTGCACTGAATACCAAGACTTTAAAAAAATTACGTACTTAACTAAAGAGTAGCTGCATCTGAAACAGAACTTGCAAAACTTTGGCCCAAATTCTGAAAACTCTTATGTATGTTCTTAACTGTAATTCCAGATCAGTTAAACACATGCATAAATATTGGCAGGATTCGGGCCTTTAATAGTTGCTTTTTTTACCAAAAGCAAAGCCTTATATTAGCTGAAACAATGTGGGAGATGATGGAAGTGAGGTAATACCTTTTATTGGACCAACTTTTGTAGGTGAGACACACACTTTCAAGGGACCAACATGGTTACAACTCTGCCCTGAAACAATATGGGCATTTTGAAAATTACAGGAGCTCTACCAGCTGGGGAGTGGCTCAGAGAGATGGAAATGAACAAAGTAATTAAGCTAAATAGTGAAGTTCAGTCACTGGCTATGGCTTGACATTTTCTGACAAGCAAAACATTATAACAATGGGGCCTATTCTGCTCCCACTGAAGTCAATGGGAGTGCAAGGCTCAAAGTCACTGTTCTAGGCGAGACTTCAAAATGATTTTAAATCAAGGTTTCAACAAGCCTGCAACATTAAATCCAGTAAGAACTATGTCAGACTTGGAAGTAGCGCTAGATAAATATTTTCCAGCAAATATTGGTTTTTAGAACATTTACTTTGGCTTTGCTTGTGCTCCCTTTATGCAAGCTCATTTTGTGATTGTTATAGGAGCACAACTATCAGTGGAAAGTGGATTTTGAAGCTGAAATTGACCTGGAAAGCAAACTTTAAACTGTTTGTATAAAACAGTCACTCCAGAAACCTGATGATTATAGTAAAATAATTGCACTCATTCAAATAATGTACAAAACCAGTGCCCTGTGACTTATTTGACCACTCATAACTGTACAATACAGCTCAAATTGCAAGCCACGGAATAAACAATTTGCACACACAAAAATCATCAGTGAATAATGACAAGGATTTAATAAACTCAGGACAATTTTGACCAGTTTGCAGAATGTTCATGATTTTATTGGCAGTATAATAATGTACATGATTAATTGATTTATTAGCTTTCCTCAAAAGTCTGCCTGTCAGACTTTTAAATGGTGTTTTTGAGTGTGAACGTTTGTGGTTTTTCCCTCCCTCTCTTATTTTTTTCAAAGTGAAATTTCCTCAGTTTCATGTCTTCTTTCTCAGTACACAATCACATCACACATATTATTGAGCTTGATATGGTTTCAACAGAAATTAACTAATTTAACTAAAAGGAAATAAATAATTAGGAACAAAAGATATGTGGGATCATCTTT